AAAAAAAAAGATGTTTTAATTTCTGAGTGTTGGATTAGTAATCAGACCAGAGAACAGGAGGTCATTGTCAGCGAAGGAAGAGTCAGGCTTTAGCAAGAAGATTGAATAGGTTCCTATAACCACCTCTGTAAGCGTATTCTGTCCTGCCAAGAATGTCCAGAAGCAGCAAAGAGAAGCTGATGACCATCACAACTTTCTAGCACAACTGATGAGTGTGGCTGGGAATTGGCTGGTTAATTTTGGCTCTCATTCTCTACGCCAGGAATTCAAAAAGTTAGAGAATCTCACAGCTGCTTGTCAGCCCCTACTTGACAGCTCCTTACCTTTGTGATGTTTTTTCTGCCACACAGATGTGAAAGAAGAGTAAAACTTCCTGCCCCCACTCTCCTGCCACATGTTCTCCTTACTGCAAGCTTGGAACCTTTTACTTCTGACCAGGTACCTGCACCTCTTGCCCACCACCATTTTATCTCCCATTCAGATCTCGTGGTGAAGGTCCCTTGCATCTTCCAACCTTTCCATTACACAAACTTCTCCCCACCAAATCAGGACCCCAGCTCTCTTCCTTTCAGCACGTCCCATCCCACCAGTCCTGATGCATATTTACTCTCTGTGTTCAGAGGAGAATCCTGCTGCTGGCTGCACTCTTCTATTATGGAGGCAGCAGAGCAACCACAAAGCCAAGGCTGCTCTGCAGTTAGATCCTGCTGGTCAGTGGATAGGTGTAACTGCTGGCTGGGAGGTGGTGGTGCACACGTGTGTTTGTTAGCAGGGAGACCACAGCTAGCACAGGAAAAGTCACTTGTTTGCCTGTTGCAGACTGAGTTCTCTGGAAGAGTTGCAGTCTAGTTGTGGTGACACCATGTTTGCACTGGATTTCTCTGTCCAGCATGGGGTGGTGGTGGTTATTGTCAGTGAGTACTTCAGCAACGTGCCAAGCTAGTGGTGCAGAGCTGTTCGTGAGGGGATGAGAGTTGTTCTCAGCCTCTGCTGGCAGTCACCCTGCCGGGGACTGGGTAACTGTAAAGAATGGCCTCTGAGCATTACAATTTTTAATGAATTTAACTATGTTTAACCTTTTTCCTGTAGCCACCCACTCTGTTCAGTTAGTCACTATCCTGCTGCAGTGAACTCCTCAGGCTGACCAGTACCTCGGGGAGCAATACTTCATTGTTAGATTTTTTTTTTTTGTCTTTTCCTTTCTCCTCTCCCTAATACAGGCACTGGTTTTTGACAAGTCCTTGTATTTGTCTGGTTTTTTATCATTTCAACCTTGAGTTAAGAAGTTATATTACTTTTAGTTCATTTATTAAACCATTGAGATGATACATTTTTAGCATAATTATATTTCTCCATGGTCATGTTAACACTCCTTTCCTTTATGGGCTTTTGGATTAATGGATATGGTATGAGTTATATTTGTTTGTGAATTAACATGAATTTGTATGCTGTAATGCCAGGGAGAATTGGAGGTTCCACTGCAAGTAGATGCAATATGGGCGAGTAAAATGACCGTTTTTATGAAAAGCTTCCAATCGAAAGAAACACTAATGGTGAAATTATAATGTAACAGTGCTAATTAAAAACAATAGAAGAACATTTCATCTGTCACTCGTTAGCCTTCTACATCTTTACAAAAGGCTTGAGAAAGTTAGCTTAATAAGGGCCATAAAGGAAAACTCCCATTTTTACATGGGTTTCGGATGGGTTCTTGGGAGCAGTGTAGTTTTTAAAGCATATTGTGGCCAGTGTGATATCATTGATGATCTATTGTGAAATAGGCATTTGAAGATAAATTAGGGCTCAGATAGCTGTCAAATCCAGTATACAGAGGTACATAATGTATTTCCATCTTGGTGTGAATTGCTTCAGTTATGTTATTCCCTGTGCCTGTGCATTGAGTGGATGTTTGTGGTGTATATAAAACTTGTGGCCTGACGCTGATTTCATTGATGTGGTTGTTAATTCATTAACTTCAGTGGGGTTGTTCCTGATTTATCTTGGCAGGAACAAGGACAGAATCAGACCTTAAATCTTCAAATTAAAAAATTAAACTATAAAAATATTGTGAAATAAAATATTGCCAACATGTTCCCATTAATAGTATTTCATATGAGACTAAAATAATAATAAAAATATTCCTGGTTAATAGAAAAGCGAAAACCAAGTATCCATTGAAAAAGAAAGAAAAAAAAAACACAAAGAAGTTTTTAGTCTACAGAGAGGTGAGATAATTTGATTTAAATAGGTACTATTTTGAATGTATACTCTTGTAACAGTGACAAGTTATCAAACAGAATTGTTTTATTTTTGCATGGCTATCACATTTAAAATGTCTACAGAGAGGTAAGATAATTTGATTTAAATAGGTATTATTTTGAATGTGTACTCTTGTAACAGTGACAAGTTATCAAACAGAATTGTTTTATTTTTGCATGGCTATCACATTTAAAATGAAGCCAGATTGACTCCTCTCAGTTGATGTTTGTCAAGAATTCTTGTAACCTCCAATTGTATTAGCAGATTTATTTTTGCAAGTAAATATGTAGTTGAAATTTATGCATTAGTGCTTTATTTGGGGTGAAAATCTAATTATTCTGTTGTTGATAAATAATATTAATTCATTAAAGATTAGTTAGTGGAATACTTATTTTGTAAGGATCTAAATTACTTAAAAAGTTGAAGTTAGCATCTGTAATACCGAGCTGACAACAAAAAGTTGAGGAAGTTAGCATCTGTAATACCGAGCTGACAAAGGAGCAGAGAGAAAGGATAAGTTAGTACAGTCAGAGAATCGACCGCTGACATTTTCATGTGGTTCTATGAAAAACACATGTAAATGTCTTCATGTAGTACCACTTGCAGTGACCTGGGAGATAAAGTGATACAGGAGTTTACCATCTCTCTGTAAAACATTTCCCCTGTTATTGTTCAGTGATGTATGGCTCAGGTACATATAACTTCCCTCCCCTTCCCAGCTGACCGCTGTGGCTTTAGGAAGGGATTAGTAAAGTCTCCCTAGTGCACGTCTCCCTGGTTGTGGTGGCTCTGCCCTAGTGACAGTCAAGAAATGGCTGGAAGATCTGCATGTGAGTGAGAAGGTAATTAGTTGTGGCCAAACTGTTAACTGTGAAGTAAAATTTACTCTCTGGGGGCTGATTTGTCAGAAAATGAGTTATCTTAGGTTAGCTTCTGAAATCTAAGTGACTTAGCATTATCTACAGATTCGTATCAATTAGTCCCTCAGTGGAAAAAAAGTGGTCTGTTGTAATTTTGACAATTTTTTCCAAAAGGCTGCTTTCTGTAGCCCATCATTCACAACCAAGTGCAAGGAAAGCATTGTGTGAAAATTAGAGGATCTGCAATCAAAAATTCTGGTTTGTATGGTTATAATCTGGAATTGCCATAATGGAAAAAGGAGTTGTGAACACATGTGTATGAATGGAATTGTTCCACAGTTAACAGGAGATTTATGGCTGAAGAAATCACTACCGAACAGCAAGTGGTAGAGATTGTGTTTTTATTTTAATATGAGAGCCAAGTCCTGCATTAGAAGGTTGCTAAATCTAGTGCAGAAAATAAACGGCACCCAAGGGATAGTGTAGCATTCTGTTAGATTGAAGGGCCCTTAATAATCCCATAGTCTAATAGCAGTTAAAATAGAGACTGTATAAGAACTAATCTTCTGCTTTTACAATAATGTGTGTACAGTAACAAGAAACAGTTATGATGTGTTGGCACCGTAGCTTTTAGCAGATGACTTTTTAAATTAGAAGATAAGTTTGCTGAGTGACTTTCTGGAATTTATTTAATGAAGACCCATAAAATGTGATATCTGTTTACAGCTGGATTAACAGCACTATGCTCAACTACTAGTCTTGACGCTAGACAAAAAGTACTGAACAAATCTGAAATCTTCTTTCCTTCCTGGGAAGTGCAAATTCGTTTTGGAAAAGCATAAATTTAAACTTCTACATCTGTCTGTCTTTAATCCTGATGAACAGTTCCTGTTTTTGCAGATTCCTTGTGGTCTTGACTTGCAAAGTATAGGCTGCAAGTCAAATGCATACAAAGAAATATTGCAGCAATCCTGCTTGGTCAGGTTTTTTTCAAGTTTGGCTTTCGCTGAATAGCGGCGAGCAATAGCAATTCTATTAGTATTGCACTTATTTTGCTCTTTCTCTTGGAAAAGTCAATCTATAGATTGACTTCAGTTACCTGTTTTTCTGCACAGAAGATGTTTGGGGATGGGGTTAATTCTTGATTGAATTATATCCACTGTATTTGTATTGTGTAGTTAATGTGTCTGTTTGGGGTGTGCAGAGTGAGAGCAAGTTGTTCCTGAAAGGGCTTCCTTTTGGAAGCAGCGCTGTAAGTTTGCACAGGACTTGGGAAGCAGCAAGTGGATTTCAGCTCGTGGTACTACTAAGCAGACACCACTGGTGTGTAAATGTACACTAGATGGCAGTTTTGTCATATCTTCCAAGTTCAAATAGCTGTGTAGGAGAACAGGAAAGGCCATCAGTGTTTAGTCTGCACTCGCAGGGTCCCTGCATGACCAATGTGGACCCCATGGACTTCCTGGAACATGTGTTAGCAATTTAGCAGCAGACATTTATTTCTTTGTTTTACTGCTTGGCTCTTTGAGAAAGTGTTGGTACTCGGTTATGGGCTGTCTGGATCATGTCAGAGGCCATGGGGATCAAGTCCATGTGACAGGCCAGACTGAGGAAGGATGAAGTTGGAGGAGGTGAGGAAACTGACCCTTACTTCAACAGTAACAAGTCACTGCCTGTCTGTGGACTGTGGCCAAATGCCGGGGCGTTTTAGGTCTAATACAGCTGAATAAACAAAACACTTTGCCCATTTGGCTTTTTCATATTTCATCAACACTAGTTCAATCAAAGTCTTTTCTATTTCCTAAGAAGAAGTTTTTATTCTTCATCCTTTTTTTTTTCTTTTTAAATTTATTTTTTCCTCTCCCCCGCCCTGTATTTTAGCCCCGTCCAGACGAGGTGACCTTGAAATCCTTGGCTACTGCATGCTGCAATGGATATGTGGGAAGCTGCCCTGGGAACAGAACCTGAAGGACCCTGTAGCTGTCCAGTCTGCGAAAACGAAGTAAAAATAAACCCCCCTATGCATGTACATACGCACACACACACCCCCTAGAACCCTGCAGTGTCCTTATCGCTTAACAAAACATGCCTGAGAAAGACAAGCTTTGCATCCTGTAGAATAGCACCTTACAAGAAAGCTAAATCCATTTCCCTTTAATTGAGAGATGTTAGAAGCAGTTAAAAATGTGAACTCTATGTGCATATATACCCTCTTCCATATGTCTGTGTGTGTACTGCTGTAGAGATATGATGAATTCAAATGCACAGAACACAGTCATTTAGTCTGCTATGTGTTTTTTTAGTACTGTTTTTTTTTTTTCAAAGAAAACATTTGTGAATTAGTGCAGACATTACTGCTCATGCAGAAAGTTGTTGTGTGTTTCCATAAAACTTCATGGGTGCTTTGTAGAGACTATAGTACAAACAGCTTCTGGAAGTTTTTCCACATGCGCATTCAATTTATCTAACTTTCTATAGGATACTGTTTTTTAGATATTTTTTTTGGTTGCAGAAAGTTGTGTGTTTCCATAAAACTTCATGGGTGCTTTGTAGAGACTATAGTACAAACAGCTTCTGGAAGTTTTTCCACATGCGCATTCAATTTATCTAACTTTCTATAGGATACTGTTTTTTAGATATTTTTTTCGGTAGATTTTTTTATGTTATATAGGCCCACTGCTGCTACAAACAAATACCAAAATACTGAAGAATTTTGATGAAAATCGTTCCTTTATCCCAACATGACTCATTTAGAGTTTACTAAAGTAACACTGTATTAGTGTTTTCTCTCTCTGCTGTCCCAGTCGGGACGTGAGAGAGTTAAGTGCGTGTGGTGCAGCGCAGTGGCCTGTAGAAGGCTACACGGAGGAGCAGCTCCCCGTAAATGTAACACCACAATTGGAGAAGGCAGCAAACTTTTAAGTAGGGCAAGTCACAACAGAGGTACACAATAGGGACAGCTGATCCACGGAAATCAATCTGCAAATTCAGTGTGGCATCGGCTCTCAGCAGAGAAAAAGGTTGGCCTGCAGACGGTGGATAATACAGATTGCATCTGTAAATGTTGACATCGTGTGTTATGTTTAATATTTCTCCTTTAGAAGTTCTGATCATTACACAACCCCCTGCAAGGTAACACTTATACAATTCAATGTTAAATCAATTTAATCAATCAAGCTGCTTCACTAATTCTTCCCTTGCGGTTAACCCTTAGATGGCTAGCGTTTTCAGGCTGCCAAGCAGACAGATGCTTAGAGGAAACGCATGGAAAATGATACGGAATCCATTTATCAGAAATATCCTATTAGTCTAATGAATTGCGTTCTTGGTATTAGGTAACTTGCCCAGGTCATCCCCTTTTTATCTATCTTAATTTTCGGTGCCTATCCTGTTTTCAAAGGCCAGAAATAGACATCCAGATATATGTGATGCTGGGGTGACAAAGCAACTGTGCCAAAGCACTGGGCATTGGTAAGGGCATATTTAAGGACTGCTGGTATATATGAGTTTAGAAATGTTCATGCCATACCATAATTAGAGGAGAGGCTCCATTTGAATGAGAATTTAAGCTAGATTACAGGAAAATTTGTTTAAATGTTCCCCCAAAATTGAAACCCCTATTTCTGATTCTAAACAACAGATTACTGAATTGAAGGTTATTAATCTATGTACTCCAACTTTATGCGTTTGAGAACACATCCTGTTACTGATTTGTCACCCTTATGGCTCCTTTAAACAAATGAATTTAGAAAAAAAAAAGGATCCCCTATCAGTTTTAATAGCTAGACTGCACTAACAGATTTCACTTACTGGAGACAAGGAGGCTCGTGCAGCTGCAGGGTCCCATGTGTCCCAGGAGATCATCCTGGTTCGTGCCTGCCCGAAAATGAGAGAGAGCTGCTGTTACTTCACATGTTTTTAGGGTATGATTGATTCTGAGCTTCAGTGTCCTTTGCTATTTCTGTTTCTGGATAGAGAGAAAGTACATCTGTGGCCCTGCCCTTCAGTTTATGAGGTGCATGGGACTTAAGGTCATTCAACCTCCCTCTCCCCTTTTGTCCCTGCCATGCCTGCTTGTCATTTTGACAGCCATCGCCCAGCTGCCCACGAGCTCCATGGCAGAAAGAACCTGATGCTAAATGACTAGTGGGCAGACCAGAACTGCTTCTTAAATTCTGAAATACAAATATTAATCATAAAGCTGAAATCAGAACGGGACAAAGCATTTTTCTTTTTCTTTCTAGAAAGCTTAAAATATCTTTGAAGAAAAACTTAATGTTAAAGTGTAGTCTTAGCTGTAAACCTGGTCCTGCTGAAATCAGCAGTCTCCAAAGAGTTAAAAATATAGCTGGTAAGAGGATATTTTGTTTTAAAAGCAGTACTGTGAATCATTAGCTATCCCGGAGGTCCACTCCCTTTGGAATTAAGACTTGCTGTCTTCCTAAATCCCAAATGAAGAATCACCTGCTCCAAACCCACATTGAATTCTTGCACTCTCGTGTTGTTTCAGGCTTATGGATGAGCTCCCAGATTCAGTGATGGAATGGGATTCTTCTGGAAGCAGCTGTAGTAAGTGTGCTTGTCCTATGTACCGTACGGCTCTTTAGTCTCTCACAAAAAATACTTAAATTACTTATTCTGTTTGGAGGAAGCAGTAGTTAAAAGTAACACAAATTTAACAAAGTCTCTAGTTAAAAAACTTAAATGCAATTGCTAAGTGTTGCATCTTAAGGTAGATGCCTTCACCAGGCCTGAGGCCACGCAGTCTTCCTGGGCTCTGGTCTCAGGCCAAACGATAGTGGAAGTGGATCAGGCCCTTCATGTCATGTTTATTATATTTTAAGCATTTTTAGCTCAAAGGCTTGTTTATTGCAGGGTGAGAAAGTATGGATGCTGTCAAAGGCTGTCACTCTGCAATAAATGATTCTCGATGCTCACTGATACGGGATACTCAATCCTTTTATTGCAGGAACTCTTTTTTTTTTCCTGCTGCTTTCCTGGTTCTCCCATAAACAGGTACTAAGTAGATGATGCAGACACTGATGGCTAAGTTTCCAACCCCAGTGTGTGGCAGTACAAAAATCTTGATCAGTCTCATCTACAGAGTGACATAAGGGATCTTAGCCACATGCAATCCATGGTTTTTAGGGAGCAGCAACTATCTTAAAAACAGAAGTAGCTGTTAGTATGGAAATAGTAAGTAACTGTCTACAAAAGGCTTATTGCTCGGGATTCAGAGGTTGAAAAAGCAAATGAATGGACAGTTTGTCTTGTCGTATGTTTCTTCCTTCACTTAAATACAAAAGTAACCCAGGGAAAACAGCAAACTTCCTTCAGAGGTCAGTAACCATCTTTGATTTATTCACTTCTTTTCATAACATTTCTGTATTTGAATTATTGGAATGCATTGTACATTACAGAAAATATATTCATGATGTGTGTACATATTTAGTAAATCTTTACTTCTGGGATGTTACCAGATGCTAATATCTGGTGTAGTACTCCAGTTTTAGGATACACTTGGGTCTTCAACTGAAAGAAAAGTTTGATCACCCCCATATGTTTTTCCTAATAGCACTATTTCTGCCCATTCAGTGGTTTCCCTGTTTCTAGAACCCCTTGATAGTGACAGCGAAATAATGCTGCTGTTAGAGTGTTTTAGGGATGTAGTCTCAAAACCAATATTCATCCAAGTATTAGAAGTAAAAAAAAAAAATGTTGCTTTTTTCCAAACCATTCAAAGTATAATATCCATGCAGATGAAAATGGTGGTGTTGAGAGTAGTTAATATTTAAAGGAGTGTTATGAACTATCAAATATAAAATACTTCTTCTATTTTAGGCAGAACTATCAGGATGTGTCGATAAAGTATTTTCAGTGATTTTTATACTTAGCTTTCAGTACTATATCAGTGCATGTGCGTAACAAGCTTGTTTATCCAAGTCTACCTTCCTCATCCCAAAAAGACAAGATATTGTCAGTTCTGCGTTTTGAGTGTGTCTTCAGCTGAAATTCTTGTTTGGCAACATAGAATTGGCATCCGTTTTGGAATTAAATTCTTTCTTGAAGTTCTAGGTCTGCATCAAGTGACGTTTACATTAACATATGCTCTACAGGTGAAATATCAAAGTTTTTGGTGAGTGTGTATGGCTTAGCTTACAATGAGAAGCCAAACTATCAAGCGCTCAAGAAAATCCTGCTGGATGGACTGGAGTCAAGCGGGACCCACTATGATGGCCCTCTGGAATTTTCCGCCGTGGCACGCGTGCGAAATCACTCGGCTGCTAAAGTGTCAAAAGTAAGTACAGCAGTTCTGGGATCATTCCTGACACCTCCTGCTTGATCGTTGGCTTTTCTTTTGTAGAGGAGGAAATAGTTTACGATCTCAAAATGAGACTGACACAGCAGTTCTTTTGCCTTAAATACACCGTGTTTGTTAATTCCTGTTTCCCCTGGCTTTGCTAAAAAGTGGGATGTCAACCCTTAAGGAGGAAGAACTGTCATGAGTCCTTTTGACCTACCGCCTCTCGCTTCAAAGCGGTAGGTCTGTGGAGAATGATTTACTTTCAGGATAATGGGGAAGTCAAGGACTTTGTTCACTAACATCTTGAAGACGAGCCTGAATGCCAGGTTTTTCCTTCGTTCCAGATTAAAAGCAAAGTTACCTTTATTAGTGAAAACATTTAATTCATTTTCTCATTTTCAGACTGTTCTTTGTCATTTGCCTTCATACTCCTGCAGCCACTAATGCGGAGGAGCTATTATTCAGGGATTTAACTTTGTTATTGGTGTGCAGTGCTATGTGATGCTCTAACGCAGAATTTTAAAACTGACAGCTATCATGTTATGTTTTTCTTTTGTACTTTTGAATTCTGAAACTCTACAGTTAATAAAGCCGTGGTTTAATAAGTGGAGATGGAGGTAATTAGCAGTCTTACTGGACTTGCTGTGAAATGTCAGTCCCATCATACCTCTGCCTTGAAACTCCCTGTATGCAAACGCCCCGTTTCTGTCTCCGATGCCTGTGCAATAAGGCAGGGTCAGGGTACCATTCATTTTTAATATTTCTGGTGAACTTTGGACCATCACAAGTGTACGTGAGCCAAGAATGCAGGATGCAAACTAATGTGACTGATAGGCTGCTAGATGAATGGTGATTCAAGTATCAGTGCACAGATGGTTCTGATTTGCTGAGTTTTGTAGCTGCTGCAACTGAAGACATAAAATATCCTTCTAGTCATAAATTAGCTCTTTGGAAGCAAAACCTTGGCACCAGAGCTTTACAACCTTCAATTAGTAGGGAAAGAAGTATTTGAATGACTGTGGTATTGACATCTGTAGGCCTGCATAGTAATCATTCCTAATAGAAGAGAATATCTGTTTGAGGGGGTTTTGCATGGCTAATTAACCACCAGTGAGAATATGTAATTTTTTCATGATCTCCTGATTGTCACCTTTCTCTCATGATACAATTACATTTTATTGTAGCAAGTGCCTCACAAACCAATTGTCAGCACTATTTACGTATTATGGAAGGCAGAACAAAAGTTCATGTTTAATAAAAAGGCACTGGGTTTTGATCTTGGTAATTACAGATACTTATTTTAGCAATTTTATTGACTTTTCTATCTTTTTTTTTTTCTTTTAACCAAACCAAAAGCTATTTCGGTGACAGTATTCCTCTGGCTATGATGGTGACCACTTTGTCCTCATTAATTTGAGAAGCTTTTTTTAAAGTTTGTACTGTTTTTTGAACTGAACTGAAATACTAGGTATCTGTTAACTGATCTCCAGCTGATCCTGTTGGATCCCTGGTTCACAAAAGTCTTTGATTTCTTAGAGTCAGATACTGAAGAGTAAATCTATTTTCTTCTTATTGCCTGGCCTAAGCCTGGACAGTATGCTGCCATCAAAGATGATCCTCACCTTCCAGGCTGTAAAAGCTGCTGCAGCACTTGCTATTTGCAAGTGCATAATCCCACTGCAAAGCCCGTGACTGAGTGGCATTTCTCACCACTCTTGTGCTGTGGGACTGAGCAGAATTGGTTTTGCTGGCCAAAAACAAGATCAGAGCATATTACTAAACCTTGGCAAATGCCGTCACTTTTTCAGAGAAACTGTTGATGTTGAGTGTCGTGCTGTTTGGAATGGTGAGAAGGCTAGTGCTGCTCCAATGGTCACCTGTTTCTGAGTTGTTTCTTCAGCCAGTTCTGCTGCTTACACGAGCAAGTTTCCTGTAACGTTCACTGCAAAACAGCTGCAGAAAAGGAATTTGTAGGGTTATTCAAAGGACTTAAGGAGTACTTAAGTCCAAGTAGAAAGAGCAGATAACTGAACTTCCTCTAACTTTATTGCTGTTTTCAGAAAATACAATTTTTCAGTCTGTGGTTCTTGGCTGTGGAGGATATTCAAGGCCTGGTGCACTTTGGTGCTACAGACCTGACAAAGTGTTCGATGACAGGCAGGCACTTCCCCCTGCATCTCTTCGCGGCACTGTCTGTAGTTATCCTGGGTCTGACTCTTTTCATCTCGGCCCTCTGCATTCCCTTTCCACCTCTCCTTTTATTCACCAAACACTTCTCCCATTAAAGAGGCAACCTAAGAATAGTGGGAGCCACTACAAACAATCCACTCTTCCTCGCTTCTTGCTTATGAGCAGAATCTGACTCCAGATGACCTGTCTGATTCCACCCCTACCAGTTTGGTACACAGGAAAGAGGTGATTTTGGGTTAATTCCCTTCTGAAGACCAGTAAACACCCGTCAGTACCAATAAGGGGATCCTGTAACACGAGCTCCTTCAAGGCAACGTGGTGAGGAATTGCTACAGAACAGGAATTTTAAGATGTAGCTCCCTGTATAGTACACAAATCTTATCTTGAGATGACATTAAAAGCGTAACAGTGGCTACATCCTGGGGTGCAGATAAAAGGGTTGGGAAATGACAGTCTCTCTTTGTGGAACCTGTTGTTTTCTTGGTAGAAACCTACTTCAGTAGCTTCCTTTTCTATGTAGTGGAAAACTTCATAGCGCTCTTTAATTAAGTCTAGTCCTTAAATTCTGATTTTTTTAATCTGAGGATTTTAGTAGTTAACTAACTCACCTCAAATAATACTGGTAATTTAGTGCACTGAAGGGTTGAATGAATGTATTCAGTCTTACTCTTCAACTGTACATGAAAAAATTGATGAAAAAATTAATCAAGGTTTTAGTAAAAATAATGCGGAATAAAGTACATCTTAGTAATCACACCGTGCTCCTTTACTATGGACTTTAAGCATATTTTAACAAAGAGATTCTACCTAGTTTTTCTTTCATATAGAAAAATAACCCGTTAAATGAGGACGATTTCTAATAAGCACAAAAATGCAACTTTAAAGATAGCTTTATAATGAATGCAAACTGCTTTGCTTGAAGCAGCGTGCCGCTCACTGCCTGGAGACGCGCCTACAAGGTGGGAGAGGGAAGCAGAAAAAGCACAGCAGTACCTGAGAGCACCAGGCAGTACAAGTGTTGAGCAGAGCAACATCTGGAGCTGGTTTGAAGATATTCCACTGCTACTTCCTAGGCCTCAAATGTAAAATTTAAAAGATATTAGCAAAAAAGGTAGCAAATCTCCTCCCTCCTGTACAGTTTCTATACAAGCTACCGTAGTCCAAAGAAAGGAGCAGAAAATGGAAAGAGCCACGCTTAGGTTATCAGTGTGACATAGGGGAAAAAAAAAAGAGCAGGTGTAATTTCTCCTGTTGACTTGATCAGTGAGCACACAGCGGGGGTTGTGGATCTGGACACTGGAGAGTAACTTGGGGATTTGGGTTTCCCCTCCTTTTTGTGGGCAGAAGAAAAAGTACATTTTACAGACAAGGGACCAATCATTGGTCTAGTATTTAGATTGTATTTGTGGGTTTATTTAGTCTTAATATAGGGAAAGCTGCTATTCCAATATGATTAATAATGCTGCATCTATGTGTAATGGTTCTGACATGAAAGAGGAATAAAACAGGAAGACAGAAAATTTTACTAGACAAGTACAATTTACGTTATGAATTTTCACCAAGAAAACAATATTGCTAGGGCTGAAATTTCAGTGGGATGTATTGCTAAAAAATAACATACTGCGAATGGAATCATGGAAAAGAAACCAAAGGTGGAAATTTTTCCAAGGGACAGTGGAAAATATGGTCAAGTATTGGATATGTGAGAAACGGAATCGTAGTGTTTGGGGATTCCTCTCAGAGATTAAAAAGGTAAGGTAAGACATGCTTCTGGAGACCTGAAAATACCCCAAACACTACCAACTAGAACAGAAACTACGCTACTGGCATGTTTATGCTGTCAATGATACACCAGGAGCACTTCAGTTTCAGTAGGAAATGCAAAAAACTTACACAAATTAAAACAGCAAATCAAATTTCAGAGTAATGTCTTGGGTTTCCAAGACATTTCATTTATTAGCAAGAATGCTGTAAAGACAATATATTAATAGTTTTTGGAAACAACTTTAAGATATAGAGGAATTTCAGCTGTTGACTTCAGTAATAAATATAGAGTGTGTCTCTATAGAAGGTGTTTAATCATACCTCATGTTATACACTTAATATAAAATATTCCAGAGTTAAGACTTTGTAAGAAATGTATTGCTTTCTCTAGGATAACTTAAACACCTAGATGTTGTCTTTGGCATCTTTGTTTTTCCAATTCACACTCACTTATTCAATATTAAGTTTATTATTACTTCTTTTTTTTTTTCCTCAGAAAGACACTGCAAGAGAATTACCACCCCTTGACCTCAAAGCAATATTCTCAGAATCCAAAAAGAAACACGATCAACTCTTAACTACAGATCATCCAGCACCAGTGCAAGAATGTGGTCCTGACATCACACCTCCTTCTATAGCTGTCATATTTAGACTTGCATTTACGGAGGAAACATCCCGCTACAGTATAGCCATACTGGTACTTCTGCTGCTAATAGTACTGTCCTTGTATTTGCTTTGATGTCACTGTTTCAATGGCTTCAGTGTGAGTGCAGCGGTGTTCCCATCGCGCAGTTTTTTTCTCAGAGTTTCTTCATTGAAGATTTCAGTGTCAGTGGCTTGAAAAAGAATTTTTTAAAATAATACTGTCAATTCTTATCTCTTAAACTTTACAGATCTATACTCAATAGTTACTTATGCACTGAACTATTTTTACAAAGCTGTTTTGTGTTATATCAGTGTTGAGATTCTTGGGTTGTTTTTTTTTGTTTGAAACTGGGTCTTTGCAACAAGCAACATTAAAAAAGTATCATGAAATACAATGGGGCTGATATCTAATTACTCTGACTCTAGTACGCTGGTAACTGGTGTGTAGCCATCTTTATACTCTTTCAGAAAATCTTTAGTTAAATACCAATAGACTAAATGCAGGGAATTTAAAGTTTACCTCTCTATTTATTCTAATGCGTAAAGGGAAGATAGTAGCCACAAATTCTATGAAGTTTTCCTCTCTATTCTAATGTGTAAAGGGAAGATAGTAGCCACAAATTCTATTTTAAGAAAAGATTCTAAGTTTTATCTAAGCTACCACACACTATTTAGTTCAACCACTCATTTTCATTAGATTTCCTTACCTTATTACAATACGGGCATTCTCCAAAGATGACATTAAAACTCTGTCTGCTGGAAGGAAGCCCTTGTAGCCACTGCAACACAAGCGAGTGCATTAAAATTCACATTTGTTTCATATCAAATTTAGGAACAATCTATTAGCAGGGGTTTTCCAAACGGAGTTCATTCGATCAAGATCTGACATGGTGCGTGTCAACTCCCAGTCTGTATAATCAGAGGGAGGCAGGTTCCCTTCCCTGGGGAGCTTACCTGTGAGTTGTGGGTTAGAAGAGAAGAGGAAGCACAGTGACTGTTGCAGCACTCCTCAAAGGACTGGGCAATGCTTATTTTCTAGAATCTGTGAGTTAATGAGCAAGTTTGCCCCATTAATTACTTTACCTCATACAGGCAGGTCTGGTGGAAAGGCTGTCCACATCGGGGATCGTCACACACTTGGTCTGGGGTAGTGCCATTGAGTCGGTAGGCGTAGCAGATTCCACAGTCCTTAGCAAAATCCTGGAAACACAAGATATTTTAGCTTACAGTACAACTGCAAGGAAGAAACGGGGCTGGTAACACGGAAAACCTGTTCATCTACTTGTCTTTGCTTTTGCATTTTTTTGTTACTTAGAATTACTAAATATTTTTCCCTTCAACATATATGTTTACACCATTATGGTATAAAGAGTGAGATTAGTTGCCAGATATACAAGACTTTGCTAGGTTTTATTTTATCCTCTCACCAAATTACGTCTAGTTTGACAAGCATTTTCATACTCTTGGGCCCCGCTCTTTCTTTCTTATTAAACACAATGATTTGTCATCACATGTGGACATTAGACACAAGACCTCACAGTCAGATATTAATTTTAAAATGTGACAAGTGAAAGCAAAGCCCGTAATCCAGTGTTACAGCATTGTCAAAAATTAATTCCAAGTTTGTTTGAAATGCACCAGTATTTGGATGGCCTCTTGTCCCCTCTAAGCAGCTCTACCTAATTAGAACTAAAGTCATCAACATCCATAACAGAATGTTTGGATTTTCCTCATCTCATTAGCTACTCTGGAACTTCCTCTTTCCTTTTTAATAGTGAAGCCTGTTATTAATCGCCTTACTGCTATGAAGGCCACAGGAAAGTGTGCACCTCTAATCAAAGGTTAACAAGCTCTGACAATTGTTGCTTGAAGTTCAGAAGTCCTTATGACAATATATTAATCCAATTACCTCTCTTCTAAGTCTCTTGTATTTTCTGGCAGTTATGAAGTGACCATTTAAATTTTACTTATTGAGAAATAACAACTGATCATTAACAGAAAGCAACTTACACTTTTTTCTATCACAGCACGAGATGGAAAATCAATTTCTAAGAGTTCTTTCAAGTTTTGTAATAAACTGATTTCTGGATCCCTGCAGGTGGGAGAGAGGGAGAGAAAAGTCAACACTAGCAATGGCAAATACCATTTCCGTTTTGAACCCGTATTAGTAAAGATGCTTACCATAAGTGCATATTGTTGTTCAGCTTAATTCTCAAGGGGTTAACCACTGCAAACAATGCACATAAATAATTACATCATCTTTAGAATCCTTTTCACTTCCCCCCCCCAAAACTGACCTCTTCTATTTCAGCACTGAAGGGGAAGGCAAGGGTTGCTTTGGGTTTTGTTTTTATAATTCTCTAAGGAAGCCAAGTCAATGACTGCTCTTATTTTTTTGTTTTGGAAATTCTTTACACTAATATTTAAAATATCATACTGTTGAAGGTATGATTTTATTTACTTATTTACTGTTGTTGAAGGTATGATCTTACTTATTTACTACTTATAAGTAATTTAATTACTTACATTAACAAGTTGGTAAAAAGCTATGGGACATGGAGTAAAAGACTTAAATATTTCCAAACGCTATTAGGACATGTGTAGTTGTTTGGTTTGGTTTTTTTTAAAGGAAATTATATTAAAATATAAGCATGATTGGCTCATCAGCTGTAGGGCACAGGGTTTCCTCTAAACTGTGCTAGGAAAGCACTAGAAAAAAGTGTCACTCAGAGAGCAAACCAGCATGCTGTGGATTTAGGCTGTTAAAAACCCCAGCATCGACCGTGTAAAACGCTCCTACACACATATTCAGCTTAATTCCTGGCTCTGCTTAAGTAAAGTTTACCCCAGGAGCCTGACAGAGCTTACACTGGTATCTGCTCCCCAGAGATCAGACTCGAGAAGAGAAACAAGCAGAGTGTGCCTGCAGCCTCACCGTGGTCTGCGCCAAGGAAATAGCACTCGGGGAGCATGTTTGGATGCCGAGGATCTACCTCTATGTTCACTGAGACATTGTTCCCTACAAGGAGAAAGCAAATAAGTCAGAGGGGAAGTTTTCCTTTGCAGTCAAGTGTTTGAAAAAGGAAACGTTAACCTTCTTTTAAAAGCAGTTTTAAATTGGTTAATTCAGACTGGTTTTCATTACAACAAATAATAAAAAAGTTGGTAGGTATCCAAATTGATTGTACAAAACGTAAGTACGTATCAAATATTTAAATTTCAATGGACTGTGATTAAAAATAGCAACCGATGAAAGACTGGCGGGGTTTTTTCATTTCTTATAAACTAGTCTTAACCTTAACACTTAGACTTATTTCTGAATCATCAAATTCAAGCTAGATGGCACAATCCATTTGAAAACTTAGTGAAATTTTAAAGGGAGTAATTGCTATTAATTCCTCCTCATCTTTTACAGTCAAAAATAGGAGCCTAGAGACAATATTAAGTATTAAAAGTCAGTCCTCTCCACAGCACACTGCTGGACTGAGCGAACAATGGCATATTCTTGAAAAAGCAATTATTTTTCTTCTACAAGATACCCCCTCATCCTCAGAAGGTCTGCTATTCATAAGGGGAAGGCAGCTCAAAAATGCCGAGGATCTACCTCTATGTTCACTGAGACATTGTTCCCTACAAGGAGAAAGCAAATAAGTCAGAGGGGAAGTTTTCCTTTGCAGTCAAGTGTTTGAAAGAGGAAACGTTAACCTTCTTTTAAAAGCAGTTTTAAATTGGTTAATTCAGACTGGTTTTCATTACAACAAATAATAAAAAAGTTGGTAGGTATCCAAATTGATTGTACAAAACGTAAGTACGTATCAAATATTTAAATTTCAATGGACTGTGATTAAAAATAGCAACCGATGAAAAAACCCCGCCAGTCTTTCATTTCTTATAAACTAGTCTTAACCTTAACACTTAGACTTATTTCTGAATCATCAAATTCAAGCTAGATGGCACAATCCATTTGAAAACTTAGTGAAATTTTAAAGGGAGTAATTGCTATTAATTCCTCCTCATCTTTTACAGTCAAAAATAGGAGCCTAGAGACAATATTAAGTATTAAAAGTCAGTCCTCTCCACAGCACACTGCTGGACTGAGCGAACAATGGCATATTCTTGAAAAAGCAATTATTTTTCTTCTACAAGATACCCCCTCATCCTCAGAAGGTCTGCTATTCATAAGGGGAAGGCAGCTCAAAAGATTTTCTGGATCCAGGTTACAAACTTCACAGCAAATTATCTTCTAAATAAAAACAGGTGAAACCCAACAGGTTTTTGTAAATAAGAGGTATGTTAGGCTTGCTCTCCTTGAAGAAATCGGAGTGAATGAAATCAAAGTTCAGTCATAGCTGAAGATTGCCCGTGGCCAACAACAAAGGGCTCAAAGCCTTGTATCACCCTTCCCGGATCTAACATGAGGCGCTTTTTGAGGCTTTGCTTTCTTTTTCATTGGTCCGTGTCACAGCACAGCAGAGCCAGGATAAAGCCACCCTGGCTGGGCACACACACACAAATTGTTGGCCCACCCATGTCATTTTAGCTGGTTGTTGAACTTTTTCTGTCCCTCCTCCTGCCCCGTCCCCAGTGAAGGAGCAGCCTCAGCACCACAGTAGCTCCTTTCCTTCTTCACGCCGCAGGCTATCAGTCTTTCCACAGGTTTTGGGGACAACTCAGGTCTACTTTGG